AATAAATTCAACTCTGCTCCATTTGCTGGACACCCTACGGTTGAGGYAGTGAGTCCAAAGAGGGCACCTGGGCTTTGTGAGGCAGAGCATGAGCACGAGATGGGCAACCTCAGGCAGCCCTTGTGGTCCCTTCTTCCAGAGTCCTGCAAAAGCCACCTGAGCCCTTGAAGCAGCATTTAAAGATCCCAGCATAGCCTAGACCCACTTTCCAGAACACTACTTSCTTATTCTTTTATAAATATATATATGTATATATCTTCATACCCAAATATTAGCAATTCACTTGAGTTGGTCTTTCTGACCATCTGCTCACTGTTTGCTCTTCCAGTAACCAACTACAACAGGGCTGAGTCCCGAGGTTGGAAAGTTCAGGTGCTACTGCAAAGGAAACATTAAATTAGATAAAAGCAATAAAGCCCAGGGCCCTAGGGAAAGGGATGCAAGTTTTACGGTAATACTCAAATTTATGGTAATGCAAATATTGCTATAGTTCCTCAGTTAATACAGTTGGCTCGCTACCAAAAAAGCGCTTTTTGCTGGGAGGTTGTCATTGATCGTTATTTTATAATTGTCACAGTGAAATTCCCCGAGGTGCAGTTCTGAGATGCACTGCAATTCAGGGGTCATCCAGGTATCCCAAGACTGGGCTTCAATTGCAATTCCAACCCAAAATCCCTGACACAAAGAAGCAAAAAGCCAACGATCAAAAAAAGGGGGCATTTATTTGTACTGGGACATTCCAATATTTCCACTTAGTTAACAAGACTTGACCAATGTTACACGTGTTTGAGGATTTTGTTTGCTTGTTTTTTCTGAAGTAACTAATGAAATATCAATAGCTCTGGCTAAACCCATTCCCTGAGCACAGTCAGGCTGAATTAGCAAAATGAGAAGCCCCTGAGCATCRAAACCAGCCATAACAGCGGGTTGCAGAGGGGGAAACCAGATCTTTTATGTAAAAAAAGTCCATCTGCAAACAATCATGCTAATGCTTTAAAGCTGATGGGCCCAGGCTTTTGGAGGCAATCAGGAAAACAACAAAAATCCTTATAGGGACRGAAATTTTTCCACCTGAGAGCAGATGCTGTCAAAGCATCAGCCAGGATGGTTTGGGAAGGTTCACAAGAGCTGCTGGGACAGAAACATTGCCCTAAGGGTACAGAGGGGACAGGAAAACAAACCCAAACTCGCCACTAAAGGTGAAGCAGAAAGACACAAGAATTGACAAATYTGGAGTTAACCCAACTTGGTGCAAGGCCCAGGGCAGATGGACAGCCCGGATATTGCAGAGAAGGGAAGGGGCTTCACCAGACACATGGAGGTGTTTGCTGAAGGAGGAGGTTGCAGTTAAGCTTCCAAAAATTCAATGTTAAGAGAGGAGGGTAGGGAAAGAGGGCAATTTTTCTGCCTCAAATCAAGATATTTCCCAATTTTCCAGAATTATCAGAAACAAAGTATTTGCTGATTTCCCAACTCATACTGGATCTATCTGTCCCTATCTCCCATTTGTTCCTACAAACTTCACCAGAGATGGAAGGATAAAATTAGGAAAAGGTTCTTCGGAAATATTCAGTAGGAAGAAAAACAAGTAGTTGCATTTGACCATGACTTTCACAGTGAGGAATGAAAACATTTTAGAGTATAAAATGAGTAAAATACCAAAGTATGCCACAATTATAATTAACCAGCTTTGCTCACGGAAATGAGTTTTGCACTTAAAATCCAGTCGGATGAACGTCTATCTCAAAGTGACGTGTACCACATTATATAACACATCAATTAATCATAAAATCCTGAGCCGTACAAAAATAATGGTAGCCAGCAGCTAAAATGCACACAAAATCTCCCGAGTAGCAACACATTTAGTAAATATTGATAGGCCAAGAAGAGTAAATCGGAGAGAACGTTTCTGCACATACAGATTTCCCCTGGTTCATCTCCCTTGTCAGGGAAGTTTTCYGGTTACCTCATGATTTCCGCTACCCGGATTATTTAAATAGGTCACCATCTTTCGGCRCGTGCTGTGTATTCTGGGGCAGCTCCCTTTGTTTTATTTTTATCCTTTGCAACCGCTAATTGGTGTAGGAATCTCAAGGAATCTTGGCCGGGAGCCGGGYGGCAGCAGCGCGGGGAGCCCGGCCTCACAGGGCCTTCTAACACGCGGCCTCCTCCTGAGGAGCAGCGCTTGGGTTAGGCCGAGAGCCCCTCTTGGGCTTCCTCTTGTGGCCAAAACGCTGCTGAAAGCCACGGCTCTGCCCACGGCACCTCAGCTGCTCCCAGGATGGTTGTTGGTGCATCTGGAGACAGTGCTCTGGACTCATGGAGCACTGCTGAGCAGCCAGGGCCAAGCGCTGAGGGATGGGGAACCTCATCCTCCTCATGCAGGGAGGGACAAGGAGGTACCACATATCCCAACGTGATGCCCGAGCAAGGCCAGGGCTGCCGGCTCTGCGGAGAGCARCCCTGCAGCTTCCCTGGGGCTTCAGGAGCCAAGGGCACCGCTATTCATCCTATTCCTCATCCAGGAAACTAGGGATGACCTCAGGGAAACACRGGGAGGAAACTTCTACCCACAGAGCATTCCCTAACTTGGTAATTTTCTAGCTCCCAGCTTCATTCGCCTGCACAAAGTTCCTAATCAGGCCCAATTTCAGCAGCAGAAATACACTACCCTGCGTTCATGCAAACATATCCAGAGGGAACATAAAGCTGCTATATCTGCCCTAAGCGTATCAGGCTCATTTTAGCTAGAGACACAAATGGAATTAAGAACAGATGTTCAGCAAAGTTGCTGCATCCTTATATTTAGTTCTTTTRAAGAAAAGAGAGACTACCATACTTGCAGGTGCACAGCGCTGGAAAACCTGCTAGGCAGAAGACAACTTGTTTCTTAATACTCAGCAGACCAAATAGTTACTATTAGCACCTGATTTTTGCAATATTCCCCCTAAGGCCCAGTCCTGTGCTCAGAACTCCCAACTGAACAAACCCACCCACCAAACATTCCCCCTTATAGGCAATAACCACACATGGCAGAAGAGCATTCCCACACACAGCCTGCATCGGGACCCGGGCTAGGCAGGCAGGAGCACCTTCACTAATGATGCCTCTCATTTTCTCCAGTGATCTTAAGTCACATGAATATCTTCTATAGGAACTACTTTAGATATTACAAATTAATATTAAGATGAAATTGAATTAAATGTACTGATTTTAATGTCATGGATGCACTCCTAACTATTTTTTCCCCTGAGAACCATCTGCAATTTAGAGACTTGCTAATCCTAATTAAATGCACTTTTCTTAAGTGGGTGCAAATGAGCAGAGAAATCTGCTCAGTAACAACATATTCACATATTTTCCTTTTACAAAGAAGGGGAAAGAGGAAACCGCTGTGATTTAGATCCTCCTAATACAAAAATACCATGTTGCTTCCTCCTCATTTAGAGGAACAATAGTCCGTTGACCATCTTACTAGTAACTCATTAAGAGACTAGGAAGGTCCCTCAAACAAGCATTTACAGTCATTGCTGCCATCTCACTRATCTGAACAATTAATATTGCTGTTAAGAAACACTGTTTTACTTATGGATCCCAGTATTTTAGAGATTCAAAATCCTCTAACACCACCCTGCTTGAAGGAAGTGAACAGCACACAGCACTTTGTGCAAGCAGAGTACCAGGTCTGCAACATATCCCACCTACCTCTGTAGGAGGAGAAGATCTTTATGTATAATTAAAACACACCCTACATTTTCTCACCAACTCCATTGCTTTTTGATTTTGGCTTTTCTTAAAGACTAGTCTCAGCCTTTCGATTAACCCAGCTTCGGTTAAGAATAATGCTTATCACCAAGGAATGGGATAAAACCTTTAAGCTGATATTAAAATATTAATTAAAAACAGTTAAAATATGAGCAGGGTAATGTCAAAATAAGCTCCTAAATCCTTCATGTTTTGAAATGCAAGAGATAAGGCCAAAATGACTTCTGAACAACCTTCAGTTGAATATCCCTGTAGTGGCTCCAGATCTTTAATATTCCCCCTTCTTGATCAACTAGTGAGACTTCCCCTTAAATTTGACTTTTTCTTTTTTTAATTGGTCTGCATAGCTAATAAACTAGTAGGTGATGTAGGCAATTATGTCCCAGAGTCCATGGAATACACATCTTTTTTCCATAGATCAGTGCAGCTTACCTAAAGCTACTCACTGCAAAAGGGTATTTGCACTCCCTGGAGGCAGCAGAGAGGAAGGTCAACAAGCAAGATGACTTGCAGAACTCGCACTTACTTCTCCCATCCCTTCCATGACACTGTTGTCTAGTGTTATGTAGATGAAATTTTTTCGTAGCCGCATTRTTACAAGTCCCGCTGAAGGTCTTGGCATCAGGACTGGAAACCCCACCATTTGGGTAGCTATATATTGCAAGGACTTGCTATTGCCAAAGCAAGCAACAGATTCACATATCAAACTTTTCAAGAGTCTCTTTTTGCCCATTTTAACCCTGAAGTCTTTTTTTTTTAAAAAAAAAAAAAAAGCATACACAAAAAACACCTCTTGCTCTTTACAGAAGAAAAATAACCAAGGGGAAAAAAAACAAGATGTTTCTTCATTATTTAAGGAGTTCTCCTCTCTGCCGCAGCTGGATTTTCTGGGAAGCAACTCAGTATTTTCATGAGTCACTGAAGAGTGCATGAATTTGGTTTTGGTTATTGGCAGGTTCTTCTTATCCCGCTCCCCCAAGGGTGTGGGTATGAGGAAAGGTCAGGAGAACACGCAGTTCCAGGCACCAAGCTTTAAGCTTTAGAAGCAAGACACAGAAACCAGTTTTGCAAAACACCAAGTCTATATTTACATCCACATGAAATAATAGACTCAACTAAAGTGAAGTACATCATAAATTAAATGAGTAATGGGTGCCTACTGCTTGACGACTTCCGGTTTCAACAATTAAAATAAAACAAAATGGAATGAAATAAATACGTAGACAAAAAAAAAGAAAGAAAATCAACAACTTGTACCTCTATGTACGCACTGTTATCTCCAAAGAAACATACAAAACCAGTAGTATCCCAATAGTTAATACTGATGGGCAAAGTGTATTCTGAAGTACAGGGCCATGTTGCCATGAAATAGAGTCTTCATGTCCATTTTTCCATTCCATCCCCAAGTTATTTTTACAAAAGAGCCCTGGGGGGAAGTGTACCAGCATGAAGGGAGATTAAAAACAAACAAACAGGTCACAAGCCTGTTTGCTTAAACATCTTCACACAGCCCTGCACGTTTAACCACAGAGCCCTGTAAGGCGTATAGATGATAGTTACAGCATGCAWTCTATAAGACTCATTGAAAGATCACGCAAAAAAATAGATTAACCATTTTCCAAGTGAATTCATCTTCAAAAAATAGGCTATAAAAGTGCAAAACTAGGAAAACAAAAATCTAGATTATGTACATATGGCTCAGCTTATGAACAGGAAAAAAGGTAAATAGTGTACAATTTCCTGATGCACAGCACTTCATTACATCGCCAGTTTACAGAGATATTAAAATTAGGTCCCATATACAGGAACTAAGACATACAACTAGARCATATCAAGTTGCATAATGAAAACACAAGAGTTTCTAGGTTTTGCTATTTTACATTTGCTGTACGAGGGAAGAGAGCAAGATGAACAGTGCAAAATTTTTCATTTTTTGTTTTACTAAAATACATGGAAGTCGAAGCCAGGTACAGAAGAAATCAACTGTTAACTACAGGCTTCACAAGAAGCAACTGGGAAGGCAAGTCAAAATACGCAACAATTCTGCTTTACTGGCTGGTAACTGGCCATCTTCCCTTTACAAAGATTAAACTGCATGTGCATTAGAGAAAACTCCTGTTGTCTTCACAAAAAATAAAAATAAAAAGGAGAGATTCTGCCATCAACAGGTTATTCCTTATGTCAAACACCCAGTAGATGCTAAAAACAGACATCAAGAAGCTTTCAAGCACAGTCAAGCAGGCTACACCAGAGCCACATCCCTTTCTAAAGTCTATGGATCCCATACGCCTCTTGCAAGCCTGTTTGTTCGTGACTTTATAGTTTGGACAAAGGTGCAARGTAGTTCTCCTCTTAATGTAACTGTACTGAGTTTAGTAGAAACCTAAACATTTGAGGCATTTTTATTAGTATCGTTCCTCACACAAGACCTACATATCTTCTGCCATAAAATTTTCCTTAGGCTGCTAGAGATGTTCCTTTAAGAGACTTCTCTCRACAACAGCAACCAACACCAGGACAAGAATCCAACTGCATTTGAGGAACCACGCTGGCAAATCCAAGTGTCAAGCATTGCTTCATCCCTGCTTTTAAAAACATGCTGGAAAACTCCCGGGAAACAGATCCCTCCAACACATCGGGGTCTTAACGCATACAAGGCAGATCAGCAAAACGTCAGCACCATTGCTTGATGTTCACAACATGTATAAACTGAACAGTTTCAGACCGTTTATTTGGAAGTTGGTTTGAAAAAAAAACTAACATAGTTCAACAGAAAAAACACACAGATGAGAAACTTWCACCCTTATGAAAAGGAGCATTAAGCCAACAGGATTTCAGCTTCAGTATTTACAGTTTACCTGAGGTGCAAGGATTATATATTCTTTCAAGAGAAAYTCTTTTCAGCAGCGCTCAAGTATGTAAAAATATAATTCCTACCTAATATTTGGTCAATTAATTCTAATGAAAAATATTCAAAGTCACTGTCAAGATATACATTCTCCACGCACCTTCATAACCCAATTGTTTAGACTACCTTTTATGGCTATTTGGTACAAAATGTTAACAGAACCAGTACTATAAAACTGTAGTGTTATTATATACAGTACAATCACAGCTTAGTTCAGTAGCTTTCACCATTCATTTTTTCTCAAGGGATGAACTGCAGGTGTAACTCCATAGCACATGCACTTGTGTCCTCAAGACCTGAAAACAAAGCAAAGAGTTTTGTAGCATAAAATGTATAAAATAGCATAATAGCATAAATAGCATAAGAGCATAAATATTTTTTGGAGGAGGGGAGGGAGAGAGGGAAGGAAGAAGCATCTTTAACATATAAAGAGAATTTCATCTCCACTATATTTCATAAGCATATTCAGAAATTTATATGTAAGGTCTGCACCTCCTGTTTTGTAACAYACAAAAACCACCAATCAAGTCTGTTTTTAAAGATACTCCAGCCTCAAGCAGAAATACAAGCAGGAAGCCAAGTTAGCTTTCAAAAAGCAGAACTAGGTAAAAACATGCTTAGTAGGATGAGAGAGTAAAAGCAGAAAAATAAAAATAATATCAAAAACACAAAGCAAAACATTTCAAAAGTTGTCAACAACAGGTAAGACAGTTTGGCTCCCGGATAGGTAAAACCTTTCTGTAAAACCCTGCACACTGATTCAGGTGCCACAACATTGAGGAGGTATCTGATTAAATTTGAACGCATCTCAGAAAGACCCAGGGGAGAATAGTCTGGGTCTCAGGGTGAAAAAACTCCAAAGCAGGGATATACTTATTTATAGTCTTATAAAGTGCTTATCTCCCCAGCAGCAAGAGATCCCTGCAAACACAATGAGGTTGTGAAGTTCTGAGCTAGAGCTCCCAAAACAAAGAGCAGTAGCAGGGGAATTCAGCCCCAGCTAATTCTTTTCACTTGACCTGTTTCCCTACAGGACTGTGCCCATCCCTCCCAGGGACAAAGGGAAAACTATTAGAAACAAACTCATCCAGCTCACAGGGGAGTGTCGAGGAGCTATCAGGAAACCTTTACTACTCTATGAAGTCATTTTCCAAAAAGAGTCCTGTTGCCTGAGGTAATTCTTGCAACCCTCAGAAGTTGTAAAATGAGTAATTCCTGTAATCTCTATGTTTTCAGGAACATAACTTCTTAGGGACTAATCGGATTCGTGAACTTTTGATAACAGACACTTCCTCTCATTTCTATTTCTCCACCCTCATGTACTAWCTTAAGGGGAAAGTCCTTCCACTCAAGGCTTCACACTGATGTTGTAAAATCTTTATCACACGACATCTAGTGTTAACCCAGGCACCTTTTAGCAAAGCAAGCTAYCAGCTCTGTTCAAAATAACTAATGCACGGGCAGGGTATTTGGTTCATTTTTATGAGAGAGGGGGAGTTTGTTTGTCTTTTCAGCTGTTCTGGCCCAGACTTTCATAACAGCACATCACACTGCGCAGCAGCGTTTAATGTTAGGAGTAGCTAAAGCAACATTTAGGTAACAAGTAGTTCAAAAGGTTTGTTTACCTTTTCTTGAAGTAAATGATCAAGTCTTCTTGTTGCTTGGTCGAAAGTGTGCATTGCCAATAAGACTTTCGTAACTCCGCTTTTGCAGCATGCTGTTAGATAAGTGTTGGTATGACACAGACCTCTTTCCTGAGGAAAATAAATTTAGAGAAGTTACAATTATTTCCTGCTGGCTAAATTGGTGAAGCATTCAATTGCATGCAGATTTATGCCAGAACCCCTGCATACTACACAAACTACCACCAGTCCTCTCACAAACAGGGCCCAGAACAACATTAGGGACATATTAGTCTGATATTCCTGGTCCTATTAAAAGATTGTAGGAAGTTCAGGATGAAGATCCAAGAGAAGAAGTAGAAAAAGTAAATTTTAAAAGCAATTTGCTCTAAGCTGCATGCTTATGTCCATCACTCCAGCTTTTGCTCATCTTGCAAGAAAGGAATGTCTTAGCCTAATTCATTACACATAGCAGCCTTTAAGAAAAAGAAGTTTGAGTTGCAGTAGTTTCGATAACACAGTGCCTACCTATCAACTCCTCCATTTGCTATAACAGATGCTTTGAATGTGAGTATTTGAAAGCAAAAATGGGTATGTTATGTTATTGCCATTAGAGATTATATGGAAATTGTGACACTTTACAGAGTGTTAATATACACTTACAGGAAGATCTTTGTTAAGAAATTTTCAGTCCTAGTATACAGGTATTTCTATATTTATCTGAGGCCATTAATTCACATGAAATCAATGCCTGTTCCATATTAAGTCTTATTAGCTTAAGCAAGCCGTCAAAAACACTTCATAAAATTCAGGGAAAAAAAAGTCAAGAATCATTACTCCCACAGGATACAAAAAGCTCAACTGCCATCCATATTCCACGAAAGCTTTAAATGCAGCATAAAAAAAAGCAAGCTTTAATTAAATTAAAATGGCAAAGCTAAATTAATATTTCAACAGAATCTACAAAGCCATTGGAGTGTGTCATGAGCAATTGTCTTTAATTTGCAGGCTCTGCCAGATCAATCAGCCAACAGGTTATCCTTGATAGCACGTTGCCATTGCAAAGGCAACTAATTTGAGAAGAACAGAAAGCGAGCGGTTTCAGAGTGTTTCTGTCTCTTCGGGGCAAGGCGAGAGTGGCATCGCTTGCACGCGGGAACGGGAGGCATCAAGCTTTAATCAAGTTTGCCAAGTGGAACATATTCTCCTGACAACCTGATCCAGCGGTTAACATGCGACGTAACATGTTCACAGGACCTAAATAATGTTGCCACGAGGCACACAGGCCATTTAAAAAAAAGGTTTTGACATCGTGTTTTATAATCTCACCAGGGAGGTATAAAAAGGCTATAAGAACCTGCAAGTCTACACCTGCAGCACTTTACATACAGTATCTTACCTAAAAAAACACCCCAAAAAGAAACCATAAAAAACACTGAGGAGTTGCAACTTTTAGCCAAGCAGTTGTATTTCAGTTTTTCAGAAAAGAATAAAGTACAAAAGCTCATCCTGCCTCTTTTCACCCCTGCTGAAATTCTAACACCAGCACTTGGCCCATGAGCTGCCCTGCACCCTGGTCCCTCCTCTCCGCGCAGAGCAGCAAGGTTTGCATTATGCAGGCACTTCTGCCCAGAAGGGTTAGACAAACAGAAACTCAGCCTAAAAAGCCTCCATCTCATCACAAGCTGCTTTTATGCCCTGTACTGCTGAAGTGCATAGACAAGAGCCACCACCCATCAAGGTGGTTTTGTTTCACAAGCCTTTCCAATGCCTGTAAGGTAGGGGCCATGAAAAGCCGTTACCAGCAACAATGAAATCTTCATTTCCAATGACAATACCACTCTACAAGTAGTTGGAGCCATAGCTTCAAGAGCTTTATATAGCTTGGAATGGTAACTACTTAAAAAGTTTCTGTCTATAGGTTCCAGTAAAAGCCTGCAGACAGCAGAAGAGGAAGGGAAATAGGGTTTTTTTTTTTTCTTCTTCCTGCAGAAAGGTGGAGCTTTCAGAAGAAGAGCGAGGTGAATTCCAGTGAAGTCATTACATAAAAATAGCATTTCATCACCTCCTACTTCCATAAGCTAACCTCACTGAAACTACTAGGGAAAAAAAAAACAGGGAATTTCTGTATTCCCAAGATTTGGTAATGCTGGGAAGGAGCAAGAGGCTGCCCACCATCTATTCTTTGACATGCAGACCACTCTTGTGAAGTTTTTTGAAGATGCAAGTTTTATTTTTGTTTTGTTTTCACCACAGCTAACAGGGCTTTATTCAATATCAAAGGCATTCCCTTAGAAGACTGGATACTCTTATCTGCTCAGCAAGTAACAATATCACAAAGCATAAGTCCACAATGAGTTGACTTATATCCAAATTAAAGCACTGCTTGGTCCTCCAATACAGGTAGGTTCTCYGACTGAGCGCTGAGAGGGCACATGAAACTCCTAGCTGTGATCCACGCTTGATAGAAACCATCCGTCCTCCAAAGCACCAAGAATTTCACAGCTGCATGAATTACTCGTGAACTTGGAGGGAAAAAAAAATAGCCCACTATTTAACTACTACTAGAAGCAGTTAAGTCTCTCAAATTACAAGGAACCAAAGGACAGCAACCTATTTGTCCCTTGGCATCCTGTTCACATGCCAGCACCTGTTTCACTTTCCCTGGCAGCTCCGGGCACTCCGGACACTTCCTCGAACTAGGAATTGACTCCAGTTCACAAGCGGGTCAGCAGCAGCAGCACAAGCTCTTCTCTCCCCACTCCCGAGCCTGGAAACAGCTGCCATCCCTTGAATAACCCTTCCCAGGCCTGGGCATTTGCCCTGCCCCACAACCCTGAAGCAAACAAAAACCCCAACCGCCAGCAACTCRAGCTCGGGCCACGTACCTGAACACACATTTACTGCACTGTGATTTCCCCAGGCTAGTGTAACCCACCCCTGCCTGGTACCCACCCAGGCTGCTTCACAAAGAAGGATCTTACTGCTTCTGGCAAGCAGTGGGATACRCAGAGATCCACAATTCGAGGACACCTTCTACCTGCAGAGCACACGCACTGCTTGTTCTTAAGAGGATCTCCATTCAAGATTCAGTGTCCTACATTTAATGATGAGTTCCTACTAACCTCCCCTGGAAACAGCAAACCCCTTCCAAATAGTGAAACAACTGCTTAAATATCACAACTGACATCTTTTAATCTTAACCTCCTACTGAGTTTTGAAAATGCTGATTAAGAATGAAATACAAGCAGCACGTCAGGAGTACCATATTTTTCAAGAGAACATCATGAAACATTTACCTCTACTAGTTCAATAGTTTTCCCACAGTAAAGTACTGCCTTTTAGTGCAACAAAACATCATAATTAGAAGAGCAGAAATGTTTTGTCTTGATTTAAAATATCCCGCTACTAAAAATCTAAACATTACAAAAAAACCTAAAGGACAGAAGAGCAAGATGTACATCATAGGTCTATGATTTTTAATACATCCCATAGTGATCATACTTATTTGCAGTTGGACAGAACATTTAATGGTAAGGGATATTTGGAAGAATTTAATATTCCAGATGGTCCAAGATATCCTTGTAAATTAGCAGAAAGGCTCATTCCACATCCTACAAAATCAGCTCATGAGAGCAATCCAGACAGGATAACACTACATGCTGAGTATCAGGAGCAAAGAAAACAAAGCTTTAAAAAAWTTTTTTTTTTTTTATATAAGAAAATACAGTTTACAGGCCTAATTCCCCAAAGTTAAGAGTTGCCAAAAGTGGATTTTATATTTAAACTTATTGAACCTGAACTTCACTCCACTCCATTCACCTTCCTTTGTAATGTGATAAAACATTGATCTAGGAAGGAGATACAGTACCTTCTACTGTAGAGCTGGTTACTTGGCCATTGCTAGATCCACAAGAACTGTAAAGTGATCCAGGGCTATATGGCTCATAAGGTTTGAGAACAGTCAATACATTAGGAGGATCAACATCATCTGAATTCAGAAGCCCTTGTTTGGTTGGCAAAACAGAGGATGAAGGTTTGGTGCGAGAACATTCCTGAGGTAGCAGATTTGCATATCTGTTTGCAACCCGAAATCTGCTCATTTCGTATCTTCTGTAATTAGCCATTGCAGAGTCAATATGGTCAATAGCTAACAGATTAGGTTTCATTCTTTTAGAAGATGTCTCACCATACTCTAGATTTACATTGCCCACAGATTTACTACACAGATAGTCTCTTCCTCGATGACACGGCCAGGCAGGTTCGCTGAGGTGAGAGTCGAGCGCCCCATTCAGACTGCTGCTGACCACACCAGCCTGAGACACCGGCACACTGAGAGCTTTTACTTTAGATTCGGATCTTTTTACTCTGTCCAATACTGGAGAGATACTGGAACTGGAGTGCATTTCTTGCTGAGGTTGTCTATAGTTATTTGCCTGAGCTCCAACCTTACTTGGCTGCTTATGAAACTTGAGGTTACTCGGGGCTGTGCTGCTCGAGTCAGTCACTGAAAAGTGAGGGACTTTGTTCTGTGCAGGGTGACACTGTTTGGCTTTCCCTGTTTGCAACAGTTTTTGTTGTACAGATGGGGAAACCTTATTTTTATGCGGATTACAGGACAGAGGAAGCACGTCTTTACCAAGCAGGGCTGGAGGGCATCCAGTGCGTCTGGCTTTAGCTAGAGCCTTGCTCCTATAGCCGTTTTTGTTAACGGTGTCAGGATTGTATTTGTGCATCAGCCTCTGGTGCATCATTAGGACTTCGGGGTAAAAGGTTCGGTACGAACAGAACGGACACGTGCTGGGTGCCAGCAGGCCTCGAGCAGCTGAAACCGCCGAGTCTTGTGAAGTCCCAACAGACAAGTTCAGGGGTTTCTCTTGATAGTCCACCATATGTTTGTGTTTGTAGTTTTCTGTGCACTCTCGCACATCATTCACATTTTTTCCATCCTTTAAAGCACAAACATACTGGACATCATCGCCCTCTGATGCCACAGAAGCCTCCTCTCTCTTATGAGGACCCATGGGCTGAGCCTCCTTCGTCTCCTTCTCAGCCTTTACCTTTTCCGGATAGGGAGCAGACAAGTTCTCGTGCATTTGATTCGAACCGTTACAAACTGAACCTTTGTTTGAGTCCCTAGAATCATTTTTCATTCGTAACAGGACATTGCTGCCTATTGCATTATTCAAGGACAGAATTTCCTTCTGCTGCTTTGCAGGTGGGCAGCCCTCAGCRTCTTTGGCACCATCAAAAAGCCTCTTCAAATTTTTGGTTTCTTGAGCACCACGAGCAGCCAGCAAGAGCTCCGTCTCCTGACTCTGCAAGGAGACTTTGCTGTCATTTTTCACGTCTGCTGCACTATCAGCTTGCTTGTCCTTGTGATGCCTCTCTAAATGATACCTCAGTGAAGTTTTCTGTGCTGCTGCATACTCACAGAATTCACATTTGTACGGTTTTTCACCTGAAACACAGTTTTATCAGTGAATAAGTTTGATACAGTTTGATTCGAAGTCTTAAACACAGTTAAAGAAAACAAGGGAATAAGCTAAGATTTAAAACAATAAAATAGATTTTTCCTCCTTTCCCTTCCACATAGTAACAATTCCCAAACTCATCTAAATCATTTAAGAAGTACATCCTACTGCTTCTGCTAACTACAGTGACATCTTCTGGTTACGATGAAGATATTTTCCACACGCTCCCTRTGCATGGAGATGGTAGCTGACAATATGTTTGGCAGAGATAAGCAGTAAGTATAGCTGTGGGTCAACTCCAACAATTTGTAGCCCTTGATCATACCACAAGTATGCTATTCAACAACACAAGTGTTACAGTTCGTCTATAAATAGAGCCCTTTCAAAAGAAACAGGGACTTACATTAACAAAAGTAAAAAGCGCTTGCCTGGGTTTGCAAAACAGAAGTTGAGCTGAAAACACAGATCGTTTTTTTCCCAGGTAGCAGCAACTGGCAAGTAATCAGCTTAATACTTGGGAATTAGTTTTTAAACCTTTTTGGTTTTTTGCTTAAAGCAAAGAGAATGGAAGTTTCAAAATATAGTAAATGCTGTTAGGAATACAACATAATTAGCCCTATTTGAAAGGATTTACATTTATGCAAATAATAAACGCCTTTTGAGAAGCTGCAGTTACAACTGTTTCAACTATAAAGCAAGCTTTATTCCCAAAATAATTTTGAAGGTAATTTTTCTGTTTTTCTTGAGCAAAACCCAGSGTTCCATCGGATTGGACTCCGCAGACCTTTCCCCTCCCACAAAGGCAAAGCCCATTTACCTGTATGAGTTCTGAGATGAATATTGAGGTAATAATTTGAGCGAAAATACTTTCCACAATAGCTGCATTCTCTGGAGGCTCCAAGGTTTTTAACTTTTGCTCTTTCCAAACCATCTTCATTTTTATCTTTGGGAGAAAATATAGCTATATTACGAAGAGCAAACGCAAATTTGGAGTCCCCTTTAAAGTTACAAGCAACTATCCTAGGTATGAGGACTGGGAAAGAGCAGAGCGCTGGGCTGCTGCCAGCTCCTCCTGCAGGCCCGCGGCTGCCCCGCGCAGCCGCCCGCAGCCAGAGCGCTGAAAGATTTTCAGCAGTGTCAGTAACATTGGTTAGCAAAGAAGCTCCAGAGAACAAATAAGATGTCAAATATGAGGTTTCAAAAAAAAAAACCAAAAACCCACCCACCCCCCACAGACCGTCACCGTAGCTTTAGGGATCCACTAGAACACAAAGGAGAAGAGTCTAGCTCAAAAATTTCCATAGGTTATAAGTCATTATTTAAAAGTCATGTTTGAATTGGAAGTGTGATGAATCAGATTGTAAAAGCACTCTGTGCACCACAGGAAAAGAGAGGGGAAGGAAACTGGGCAAGAGGGACCTTTATTTTATTTATGTACTACTCAAAGGACTGTTGTGCCTGCAAATCATTATCATTAACTTGAATCAATAATCTTGCTAAGAAACATTAACTGCTGAACTTTTGGCCAATACAGCTGCAGGGAACTGACTAGCATTACTAATTCTGCAAAATATTTTTCCAGGAACAAACTCACAGCTTAAAAATTGGTTTCATGCAACTGCAAGCAGCAACAATTACCACTAGAGGGTGGCAAGTACAGCATAATGTCTAACAAGAAAGGGGAGAAAGCTTATACACAAAACACTATTCAAACTGAGGATTCTTTGGCAGTCTGATTCAAAAAAGACATTACTATAATTTAAGTAAAAAAAAAATACTATGTCCAAGCTGACTATAAAGGTACAGTGGGAGAACAGAAGAAGGWGGTTTGCTTAAGATATTAAATTGCTAAAAAAATTCAAATAGATGGCATGAGAGTTCTCGGAAGCCCGTGTCTTTCATGCTGCAAGTGCTGAGCAGAGCCGAGCTTCGGCCCAGAGAATCCAGGGCTGCTTTAAACAAACAGAGCGAGTCCCAGTACGGATGACTCAGCAGCTCGCAGTAAGGCTGGGGCTGAGACRCTGCGGAACCAACGGGTGAGTCGGACTTAACCAAGAGCCGTGTCCCCTGGTACTGCCGGCAAAATAAGGGGCTGCACCTTACCAGAAATGGAAGCTGGTTGCATGTGCCAGGACATTCTGTACGTTATGTCTTTTCTTGAGATTGTGCAAGTGTCGGGTCTTTAAGCGCAGACCCAAAGCATGGCCCACAGTGGGAGGCTAGCTACAAGTTTCTGCTATTTTGTTCAGTCCCCTAGACTTGCAGCTTTTTTTCTCCACTGAGGGAGCATTTAGGATCAATATCACATGTTTTCCTAAAGCAYAGCAAGATTCAGAATTAATCCTGCATTACACACACAGATCCACGCTGGAAAGTGTTAATATGGCCTTTCAGGGAGAGGAGTTACAGACCTCTTCTACACACACCATGTCCCCATATTAATAACTTTTGTGCATATCTTTATGTAGCTAATTGATATAGATACTGGTGCTGACATTTGGGCCTTAAAGTTGCATACCATTCAAAAATATACAACATGCAGTCACACAGAGAAGAGTTTAGAAGTATCCCTTACTTCTCTGGACCCTAATAACTGCTGGTATCAAGTACAGGATGTTTTCTGCCCCTTTTTCACAAGATGCAGAAGCAGGAAAAATGCAGCAACTTCAGACCTATTATTTGTAAGAGCATGTGCTGGATAGGAGGGCTATGCAATACACCAGAGTATCCTGCAAGACTAACAGCCTCACTGCTGACATGCGGAGACGAGGGGGAGACAGTGCGTCTTCCTAGACAGATTGCTATTAAAACTAGGAGAGTAATTCTAGTAACCCAAATCATAAATGTAAAGAGGTCAAGAAACTTGAGAGATCTCAGTGTGAGGGTATCAGAAGTTCTTCCCTTCTCTTATTTTTATCTTTTTCCCTTCCCCACAACACTCTGGCCAAGTTCTAAAAAAAAAAAAAAAAAAAAAGATAATGCACAAGACATTATGACCATTGAAGAGATTCCGAATACCACAGTTACTGCTATTCAAATCTAACACACTCCTCACCCAAATTAAGCGTTTCCGGAAGCCCATCCTCAGATCCATCTTCAGAGCCTCCTTCCACTGCTCCATTTTCATCCAAACCTACAATCATGCCAGCGCAGCAGGACCTGGACACAGCTGCAGTCTCCCCGTCCGTCCGCCTGTCTCTCTTGTGCACTCTGGAGTGCAGGACTAGCTGGTGGTACGTTCTGAAGGCCTTGCCGCACTCGGAACAGTGGGTCGGTTTCTCTTTGTTTTGGGACAGTTTAGAATCCATTTCCATAGAAGGCACTTCACCAGGATGCTTTAATTTGTCTTGGGCTAAGTTACTATTCCCTGTATAGCTGTTGTTCTTGGTTACTTTTGACTTCCCTGTAGTTTCAGCCTGGCTACCTTTATTTGCATTCCAAATTTCACCGAGTTCTTCTTTATCAGAAGATGAATCATCATTGTCTGTACTTCCTTCTTGGCCCGGTTCTTTAATCTGGCCATGGCCAACTGCAACTTTACCTTTGGTAGCCAGCTGCCATGCTTGATATGTGTTGAATGGATCTAGTTCAGCTATCCATTTCACAGGCTTTTGTGATTTGTCATTTTCTGGATCCAAGTTTGGTCTCAAGTTCAAGAATCGCAGAAATTCTTCTCTTTGAGAAGTTTCTTCTYGATTAGACTCACTAGTCACTTGGGGGCTTTCACCATTGGGTACTGATTCTTTGGTGTGCACTTTACTGTGCTCAATTAAAGTCTCTTTATTGAGAAATAGGAAACCACAAACCATACAAATTTTGTAAGGTGACGTTACATTTTCAGTTACGTGCTCCTGCACCACCTCATTTATTGTTATGGGGCTTTCGGACCCTTGTTGGAGCTTGTTTCTGGAACCCGGCTTCCCAGTATGTGTTCTCATGTGATTTTTAAGGAACCACGGCTCTTTAAATCTTCTTCCACATACATTACACCAATACGTGAAAGAGTCTTTATGCTTTTTCATGTGTGCTTCAACATCAAAAGCCTCATCAAACGTTTGTCCGCAAACCTCACAACTAAGTTCTTCGCTGTCCTTCTCATTGTTTGGCAAGGACAGATTTGTTCTTACTTGACATTTATCTAGACGACTGAGATACTCTGCTTCAACACGCAGGACAGCTGGTTCACAAAGGGTGGGCCTATGCTGTGTTAAAACATGCTTACCAAGCTCTTCCGGATGCTTAAAAGACTCATCACAAAACATGCAGTCCAGAGGCATGCAGCCCTCAGCTTGCATTAGAAACTTCTCTTGCAAGCTTTTGTAGGAAATTGTATTTGTTCCTTTTATTGTCATTGAGGCATCGTTATTCTCCATCTGTGCACCAACAGTGCTGGCTATTCCATCCGGTCCATCCATGTATGCCAAGAGAGGCTGAGTTGGCATCTTTCCTACGTTCTGTTCCCTATTACGTGGGATAACAAAAGGCTTGAGGTCTTTGGGGATACTCACGGATCACTATAAGGACACTTTGTAATGTTCTCCAGCATGCGCTTGGGAGTCCACTCGGCTAAAAGACCTCGGCCAGGAAAAGACTTTTTCCACACAAGTTACTTATTTTTCCATCCTTCTGCGTTCACACATCACTGAAAGAAAATCCGCTGGGTCTCTCAGCAACGGATTGAGGTTTCTTGAACTCCCTCTTCTGATTTTTCAAGCCTGTAGAAACAATCACTTGCACCTACTTTCTTTGTGCAAATATTTCAAATGGTTGTATTGAAAAAAAYACACCCAAGGAGAATTTCAGTGCCACATAGAACTCCACCACCTGCAGGAGAGAGAAAACAGTGTCAATAAGACAATTCAAGAGAACAGGAAAGCATTTCCTCCCAAGTAATGAAAACATTAGTGTTAGTGAACTGCTGAACATTCCCTTCAAACAGCCACAGCTTTAATAGGCAACAAGGGACAGCTGGGAGACACTCCGGTCCCTTTTCCACCTGCTGTAGTTGGAGTCAACAGTGCAGACCTCCACATGTCTGTATTCTACTACCTGCATTCCTGAACTCACATAGCTACATTAAAAGCAACATTTTGTCTACTAGTTGTCCTAAACCTAATCCTAGCCAGTTTCACAAAGTTGCTGAATYCCTATCTCAGGGCCAACCTTAACAGAAATCTACAAGTGAATGAGTCAAAGCAACCTCAGACCTGTGAAACCAACTCAGTAGAGACACAGCAAAACTTTGCAGTTCATTAAAGAGTGGACAAGTAAACAAAAGGTGATTTTTTTTCAAAATTAAACCACTTGGATTTGGTTGTCAGAGTTCTGGTGCACAGTAAGTACCGAAGTAAATCCTTGCRTTAAGGGCCATTCACTAACACCATAACTCATAGCTTCTAATATCATAGAATCCAACTGAAACCATTAGCAGCAATTAGGGGCTACTCTTTCCGCTCCTGAGTCAGAATTGCAGAGGTCGGTCCTCTGGTTGATCCAACTTCTTTGGATTAATGAAAGGTCTACAAAACTAACGAACACGTAAACTAAAGAGAAAACATCCTGAGATGAGGCGCATTCCCACATGTGACTATTCAATGAAAAAAAGGACATATTCAAAGTTTGACTAAAAGCTCAAAAGTCTTTCAAGATACTTCATAAAAGAAATGCACAAAAAGACAGTAYGTACAAGGCAGCTTTAAAATTCATCTCAACTTCTAACTTTTTAAAATTTTGGGAAAGAAATGTTATTTTTCTTCATTTCAGGCAGAGAAAATAACTATCTCCTTAAAAATCCTGGCAATTGAATTTCCACTCTCCAAGCCACTGTGGCAGGTAAGCGGTGCAGCTACCAATGCAAAGTGTTACTTCCTTGGGCTTTTTCTCAGCAGCAGAAGCTGATCTGTTTGCATGGACCAGGTAGAAGGGCAGCCTTCARCCATTAAATCCGAAATATTTGGTGAAAGTCAGACAGAACTTGAACTGTTTGCGTAGRTCAAGGACACGCCAAGGAGCAGACAAAGATCCTATGGGCCAACCTGTTGCTGGAACAGGCCCTGTGAGCAGCTGTGTGGGGGGAAGCAGGGCCTTTAGTCAACTGAAAGGCATATTCATAGAGCAAAAGTTTGCTATGATGCCTTCAATTATATTGGAAGCCTTTAACTACCACAGAACAGTGAAGTCTGGGCACAGTTGCCACCTGGAATGGAGACATGACAACTCACTGCTAGGAAAAAATAGATCCAACACTGCACTAATCCGTGACACTGAGAAAACTTTTTAATTTGGTTTTAATTTAAATTTTAAATTTAATTTTTTTTAAATTAAATTTAATTTAAATTTAATTTTTTTCCTCCCCCTTCTCTCTCTCCTCCATCACACAAAAAAAATATCTGGAACCTAATGAGCCTTTGGAGCTCCTCACTGCCCAGTCCTCTAATCCAGGTCTAGACAACGATCTTACCAAGGTCACYTCCAGCCTTTTTTGATTGATGACTTGTCAAGTTAAACACAAAGAGTGAAGGGAGCCCATAAGGTGGAAGGAAGAGCAAAAAAGCCACTAGCCKGCAGGTTGATGGTTCATCCAAATCTTCTGCAGTCAAAGTCTTTTATAACCCCATCCTTTAGCCCAGCGTTGGGGCTAATCACTGCCATTGTTAACATCTCCTCTCCTGCTCCTCTAGCACTAGAATATGTCTTTTACAGAGCTCAGGTTCTAGGCTTCCACTTCTGAATTTCTTCTGTTTCACTCTATGCTTCTGCTTTTCTATCTTCCCTACTTAGTTCTAACTTTCCAGCTCTCACATACTGCAAATAGGCAGGTGGAGCAGCTGTAACACCCTTGAAACTACAGTATTCAAAAAGCTTTCCTCTTTTTGGAAAGCATAAGAAAAAAAACATATCAAAGCACGCTGGCTAGCATGCTTTACTGCAAGTTTTAACTTGCAGTTTTGTTCTATTGCTACTACAGCTTTATGATGTACTTTTACACAACAGGATAACATGCTATGGCAGAGCTCATGTACTTAAATGGTGATTATTTGCCTGAAAATAATTTATTTGCAAACTGAAAATGAATACCAGCTTTGCAAGTCTCCTAAACACCTGGAGTGAATATCAAGGCAAGATAAAAAATTAATTTGCTTCTGTGTGCAGTGTAGTCAGAGATATAAGCAGGGGTTCGGTGCAGTAATGGATATAAGAATCATTCTAAACCAAAGCCAAAGRTACATGGGGGGCACAAAGTCAGAGCCAAACCCCGGAGTGCCTCAATTCCCACATACTGAATCGRGGTCATTGCTGCTGTCTCTACAAACACAGTCCTCACTGTGTGACACTGCACATACAGAGAGCAAAAAGCATCAAAGAGCAGGGAAGACACAAAGGAAGAATTAGTAGACATCCGCATTCACTCTCTGTCCTTCTCAGGGCAGGTTTCAGCATTCAGAAGCAGGTTGAGTAGAAGAGAGATTCTTTTAACAGGCATCACCACGTAGTTCTGTGCTAACTTAACCTAACACYATGCAAACACTGTGAAAGATTATAAAAACTTCATGATTTGTTAGAATTTAAGACACTAACCCGAGCTAAGTCTAAGAAAGGTCTGAGGTTGGTCACCCACTCATGTAAATCCACCTCAAACAAGCAAGATTTTATCTGGAAATCCCTTTGAAAATGATCTATTCCAATCTCATCTCATTTTAGTGTATTAAAGAATTACTCAAATAGCCATCTAAAAAACTTAACCTGTTTTCATGATTGCATATATAAGTACACAGCATATACCCTTATGAGGTCATAAGAAGAATTTAACAGAGGCTTGGGTCTGAATTTCATTGAGTATCAATAGGTTGAAAGGCTGATCCTTCCAAGGCACCTTCCCTGGCTCTTTGGGGCACTTCCCATCCAAGGGCCAAACCCTTGCAACCACCAAATGCTGCTGTAACATTCCTATCCCGACACTGCCCCCTTTGGAAGAACTGGCCCCAGCTCATCCCCTAAGCATTGCAAAGCAGAGCAAGATATTCCTGTTTGATAATCTGTTTGCAACATCAGCAACTATTACTCTTAAATATAATATTGGAAACAGAAGATAGTTACAGACTTGAAAACACCAGCAGATGACATTTCTGAATGAAAATGCAGGTATAATTTAGGAGATTTGCATCCAAACAGACATCAAGAATGATGGTGCTTACAAGGCGAGCTAGACTCCAGTGGGTTTTTTTAGCTGGTGATTACAAAGTTGACTCTGATTAGATAGATGGCTTAATAAGAGCAGGACATGATTCTACATTCCCACTGTTCAGACAAGCTAACACATGCTAAAACTGTGAACCAAATACCCGCTCTAGGATTTTATCCACTATTAATAAAACTTTTCTTCCTAGGGAAGATAATATAACGCCTTGGAGTCGAAAACCAAAAATGCTGATTAATTACATTCCTGTTATTCAAAACGCTGTAGGCAGCAGCACAACCGTCAAGAGCTGCCTTAATTCTGCACTACTACTAAAGCAAACAACCTGCAGCTTTGGAGAGCACTGGAACCATCTGTAGCTCAACAGAAATCCAGTACCTAGGGGCTTCTGCAGAGCTCTTCACTTGTAGGTATCAAGAGGCCAGAGGACACATACACAGCACAGGGTACAAGGTACCAGTCTGGAAAAAAAAAAAAAAAAATAGAACAAAACCCCATTCTTTGCAATATCTGAGCAAAGAGAGCCATCATTTTGCCACTCAAGGTTAAAAAATTAAGCTGACCTACTCCTCCTCCCACTAAAAGGATTTAGGCTTCTGACTCCCATATCACCACCTGCGAGTGGCAAAAAGGACCTGGGACTGCAGTCCAGGGCTCACATATTCCACAGGTGGAGCGGATTCCTCCTCCCCACAGGTAACTAGCACTTCTGGACAGTTCCTGGAATATTTCTGTCCAAAAGCAGCAAGTTCTTCTCTCTTCTATTATTACAGAACTATTCAAGTTGTTCTCTGCTATCTACTCAACTTCATCCTCCCAACAGTCCCAAGCCTGCGTGTTTAAGAAGCTGTAGTCACACAGCGTTTTTATTTGCTTATGTGACCTTTAGTCAACTATTTCAACAGGTTTGCAGCAATATCCACTGTATTTATAAACACCACAACACWCATAAATAAAAACTGAACTGGATAGATGAGAACATCTTGCCTTCATTGCACCTACCACAGAACCTCTGAACCACATTGAAAAGCTGCTGCATATAAATGAATTATTAAAACAAAGTTTTAGTTAAATGCCTGTAGAGAAGTTTAATTAAATTATGCAACCAAAGACTACATATTACAGTCTCAAAGATTTCTTTGGGAAATGACCTATCAGTAGTAATTTCATTGCAATTCTACTTCCTGCATTTCAAAATTTCCATAAATATGTAATAAAAATTCTAGACACACCTTTCAAAGAACAGCAAAGTCCAACCATTGAATTTCCTGCTTTAAACACCAGAGTCCCAAATAAAAATTACTACAAAAACAGTTGTGCAGAGCTGGGGCACCCTTGCCCTCAGAAGGTTTGTTATCAGAACAATAAATGAAAACTCAAGTTTGTCTCCAAAAATACTTAACTGTTTTATTGCAAGGACGCTCCCCTTGAGAGAAAGGCATCCCTGGGTCACCCTCCACAAAATGTTTTCCTGCATTAGATAGAAAGGCCTTTCCTATCCCAATTTGAGGAAAAAACAGTCCCTAAATCTAGGAGGGAACACATGTTATTTGCTGCATAGACTGTGACCTCGTTTCGGAAGGAGTACAACTGCCCATCTGCCTGTGGCTTAAGTTACAACCCTGGA